GGTTATAAAATGAGTTAATTTGACTTTGGTCAACGTTTTGGGTAAAAGGACCCGGACCCGTAATTTGACGGTCCCGGAGGATCCGTAGGAAAATATGGGACTTGGGCGTATGCCCAGAATCAAATTCCGAGGTCCCAAGCCCGAGAAATGAATTATTTTTTAAAAGAATTTTTTTTTGAAACTGTTTAAGGAAAATTGAAATGAAATTTTCTTAGAACATGATGGTATCGGGACCGTATTTTGGTTCTGGCGCCCGGTATAGGTCTTATATATGATTTAAGATGTTTCTGTGAAATTTGGTGAAAAACGGAGTTTATTTGTCGTGAATTGGACTTTCGGTTGAGGAGTTATGGGCTTTGAGAGTTCTTAATGAAAATGTTAAGTTTTGAGGTTTAATTCATGATTTTACATGTTATTTTGATGATATGATCGCACGAGTAGGTCCATATGATGTTTTGGAGTTCCGAGGGCTCGGGTGAGTTTCGGGTAGGTTTCGGGATGTTTTAGGCTTAAAACCAGAAGTTGGAGGTCTCTGAACCCACCAGTGCAGTCCGCGGTCGACCTTGTGCGGTGTGCGGTGGGGGCTGTGCGGCCGCAGTCGACTTTGTGCGGTCCGCACAGGGCACTGGACCGCAGTACCCTCAGGAAGGCCTGTGCGGCCGCAGTCCATTTTGTGCGGTCCGCACAGGGGGTCTAAGAGGGGTATAAATAGATGAGATTTTCAGTCATATTTCATTTTTCAGAACCCCAAAAACATAAGAGACGATTTTTCAAACAACCTTTCTTCTTTAAATCAATTGTAAGTCATTTTTAACTAGTTTCCTTCAATCATTAACATCTTTTAATATGATTTCAACTTCAAATCAATGATTTTCATGGGGGAAATAGGGTGTTTTGGGTAGAACCTAGGTTTTTCAAATTGGGGATTTGGACCTTGATTTGAGGTCCGATTTCAAAATAAATTTTATATTTAAGTTCGTGGGGGAATGGGTGATCGGGTTTTGGTTCAAACCTCGGGTTTTGACCATGTGGGCCCAGGGTGATTTTGACTTTTGGATAAAACTTTGGAAACTCCATTTTCATGCATTCAAATTGATTCATTTAGCATTTATTAATATAATTAACTAACTTGTGGCTAGATACGAGCGAGTTGGTGGTGGAATCAAGAGGTAAAACGATAGTTGAGGCTTGAATTGCGTTCGTGACATCGAGGTAAGTGTTCGATCTAACCTTAGCTTGAGGGATTAGGAGTTGAGTCCTATTTGCTATTTGCTTCTTGTTGAGTATGACGTATAGGCATGGTGACGAATATCTATACGTTGGTATCAAGCATGACCGTGAGTCTTAAATTGATACTTGTTGCACGCCATAGATATTATATTGTAATGGGTTGCACGCCGCAACAGATATTATATCGGATCGGGTTGTACACCGCAATAGATATTATATTGGATTGGGTTGCACGCCGCAACAGATATTATATCGGATCAGGTTGCATGCCGCAATAGATATTATATTGGATCGGGTTGCACGCCACAACAAATATTATATTGGATCGGGTTGCACGCCGCAACAGATATATATATATGGATCGGGTTGCACGCCGCAACAGATATTAAATGATAAGGGATCGGGTTGCGTGCCGCAACAATATTGTTATTATATTGTTGTTGATATTGAGCTGTCCTTTCATATTTTGCTAAGTTTCTGTTGGTCTTGATATGTTTCCCCGAAGCATATACCCCCTCCCATTTTAAATTGCTTATTTCTCTTTATTTTCCGCCATATATTATATAACTGCACAGGTTTATCTGGAGTGTGGTCCTAGCCTCGTCACTAGCTCGTCGGGGTTAGGCCAAACATTTACCAGCACATGGGGTCGGTTGCGCTGATACTACACTCTGCACTCTGTGCAAATAATGGAGCGGCACTTGATCACCAGCGAGTAGGAGAGCCTGCCTTCAGTCCACCGAGACACCGAGGTAGCCTTGCAGGCGTCCGCAGGCCCGGCGTCTCCTCTATCTTTTATTATGTTCTGTTATCTCATGTATCCGAGACAAACAATGTTATTTTTCCTTCAAACTGTTGTATGTAGTACTCTTAGTAGTCCGTGGATATTGTGACTCCAGTTTCTGGGTAGAGGCATGTGTTGACTTTCGAAATATTTTGGTTTTATATTTATTTAAGACTTCCGCTTAAATCTCATATTCCGCTGTCATTTAGATGTTTATCATTTGTTAACATAAGTTGTAAAAAAAGGATTAAAACAGAAGAGTTAAAGAATTCTAAGTTCGTGGCTTGCCTAGCTTCCACGAGTAGGCGCCATCACGACTCCCGAGAGTGGGAATTCCGGGTCGTGACACCACGAAAACTCCCTCTCTAGATCCCATCGTAGGAGAGTCATCTAGATAAATCACTAGTGGGGGCGCAGTCTCAAACTCCACTGGCCGTCTCTTCGACGACCCCTCCTCTTCTGCAGTAGATGAAGATTCACCCGTCGGGCGAGCAATGCGGGTCGAAACTTCGGCCTGAGAAGTCACCCTCATAGGAGTAACCAAGGACGCAGACTTAATTAAAGCACCCCTCGACGAAGGTTGGGCGATGGGTACCGCAACATGGCGAGTAGATAAGGCCGGTTGACGAAAAGCTAACGGAGGAGGCCTTGCTCTCCGAACCCTCCCTAACATCGATAACGACACATGAGAACCAAGTAAAAAGAGAGGAAGAATAGCAAACAGTAACATCATCTCACCTGTTAGAGGCCTGCGTCCAAACCTTTCGTAAAAGGATGACCATGTGCGAACCCCTACTATATAGGGAAGGATGGCACTCACCCATTCGCGAATACCCTCGACAGGCGGAGGGGGCAATCTCTCAGCTACAAAGACATGATAAAGTTTAGCACCACAACAGAAAACGGTCGGGCATCTCATCGACTAAAATTACAAAAACTTACGCGCAAAGTTCTACCTCTCAGGGAATCCCGTTGGGTCCCCACAATGTGCTCATTCCGCACGTAAAAATAGTTCTCGTAGAAACGCCGGTTGGTCCTGTTATCCATTCTTACCACCAGACTCCTCGATCCCCGAGGACGCATATGAAGCATCGTGCCGCGAATAAGCTGAGGGGCGAAGATACTGAGCAGATGATCTAAAGTGATCTCACGACCGGCGAGTTCCGCGAACTTGATCAACATAAGGAATAACTTGTACAGGTACGGTGAAAGTTGAGCGGGGCACACCTCATAAAAATGGCAGAAGTCTACCACCAGGAGAGGGAGAGAAAGCGTGTATCCGATCAGGAAGGGGTAGGCGTAAAATACACAACACCCAGGACGGTCAAAGTGAACAATGTCGGTTCCTTCCTCCGGTCGCATGTTGACGTAGCCGGGAATCCCCCACCTGGTTTTCAACTCTGCAATACCTGCTTCTCTCAGAACAGAAGGAACATGCTCCGGATACGTTTCGGTGGGACTGCTAAAGTCGGCCAATTCTCTCCCAGGGCGAGGCAGAATCTCGACTATCGACGGGACCTCCTTGTCTTCCACCGCATCCACCCCTCCAGTGGCCTGGTCAGCATTTTCCGATGCCGGAATTGTGGCAGGTAGATCGGCGCGAGAGGAATCGTCAGCCATTTTGTACAGATGAGACGACAGAAAGACCACGAAAAGAAAGGATGGAGGTTTTTGGTTAATTAAAGGCAAACGAAAGCTTGGAATGTCAGAGAAAATATATCTGCAGAATTCTCTCAAGCAAAAAGTAAAAGAAGTGTGCCAATCAAATGACAAGCTCCCTCTATTTATAAGTCATAAATCCCCCAAGCACGAAACCCAAGAGTCGCCAAGCAAAATCTGATAGGGCATGAAACATTTCAGTTCCCCAGGAACGTGTGTTATAATGGCGGTAACCACGAAATGGCGCTTTGATGACAAACGACGTTTCGATTCCGAAACCGCCGCAACGGTCCACGAGTATCGAAAGAATGCCGCCACCCCGCCTACAAAAAAATGTAACTGAGAAACGGGAAGTCAGGAGTCAGATTTCGTTCGACTTCGTAGCAATCATGATCCGTCTGCCGAGCCCGACAGTGGACGACCCCGACAGGTAGAGGGACTAACTGTATTGGTCAAAATCTGACCGTCACGATCGAACTGATCAACGTCCCACCCAAGGGATCGAGCATTGAAAAATAACATAGCCCACTCTATACCTTTTTCCTGACATCCGTCGAGCCGGAAGGAGCAACGCTTAAAGGGACGACCAAGACACATTGGAGGCAGGTGGACGTCGGTCCAAGCAAAGGGCAAGGGTGCCTCGACTATATATAGCAAGGGAAAGCTTTCAATAAAGGGGGCGGCTCCTCCTATCTCTCTCTGAAGCTAAAAAGCTCTCTTATTGTATTCTCAAGAGAGAAGAAGCGGTCTCTAGAAAAATATGTAATGCTGTCTCCCAATTGATCGATAGGGGATACAATATTGAATCTCAATAAGATCATTTATATTTCTTTCATCCTACATGCGATCCATACTGCTAGCTCTTTGATCTGGAATTAATTATGTCTGACTAAGATTTACCCTCTCATCTTCTTTGATTGATTTGCCCAAAAAGATTTCGATATCTTTTGAGTCAAACACTACTATTAGATCAAATTAACTAATATATCACAACATTGTCGAAGTTAGGATGCTTATGAGATGATCTTCATTTCCTTGGTTTTTAAACCAACAACTTTAGCTTTAGAATTGATGCATTATTTCAAAGCTTAGGGGGGTAAATAGGTGCATTATCTCCCAACTTAATTGAAATTCCCATACGTTAATGGTTTTTGCATCTTACAATAACTTAATGATTTAAGTCATATACAATGATTGCTTTAAAAAATTATATTGTCAGTGTAATTTAACTAATTATAGCTCAGTAGTAAATCGAAAATTATGTTTATGTGATTGAAATTGAGTCAAAAGTGTTAGCGATAACTAACTCACTGATATAAATAGCCATACATACACAAAAATGGTAAAAATTTATTCGTACCGAGTACCGAGTACCATTTCTAAAAGCAAATGGAAATAGTGGTGGGTGCTGGTGTTGGCACTAGCTAACTCTGAGACACACTATATATCACCCCCGAAAAAACCATTCTTTTTGCTATAATTAATTCTTCACACTTCTAAATGGATTGGTCAATTAGACATTGGCCAATTCTGCTTCTGCTTTTGCTACTCTAACTTTTTTTAGTTTTACTAATTTTTGCAAATATTAGTATACAACTATTGACTGCTGCAGAAATCCAAGAATCCCATGAACTCATGGTTTTGTATCATTGTAATGCTCTTTTCTATTCCAATCACCCCTGTAAAAAGAGAGCCAAAAAAAAAGGTGTTAAGTCTTTTTCTTTCTTTTCTTGAATTTATGTCTGGATTGGAGCCTTAGAATTATTTTGAGACTTACCCATTGTAAGAGCACTAGCAAAAATGACACCAGAGAGGATGAAAACAATGATTGATGCTCTCTTTAATATTGTGATAACTTTTCTAATAAAAAATTGTCCCCAGAATCCAGCCACTACAGAAACCATCATCAGGAACAGAGCTGCAATTAATAGGGAAATTTAATTATGACTATAGTAAAAAAATTTAATAATGTGGAATTTTGACAAAAGCAGCTAGTTGTGATTAAAGAATATACCATAAGGTATTGGGAACCTCTTGAGAAGATGAAACTCTACCACAGATAAAGATGATGAGAACATCATCACAAAAGTTGCTGTGGCACTAGCTACCTGAACATGAAAATAAACAAATCCACAGTCAATTTCCCTTTAAAAACTTGTGACCTTTCCCCCATACCATAGTTAAAAAAATTAGGACACAATACCATTTTTAGCATGTGGCTCAAAATATTTATATTTTGTAGCCGTAAAAGTATATGAAATTTGTATATTTTTTGTATATAACATATAAAAATATACGTACACACATATACAAATTCCTGGACTATTATTTGAGAGTAACTGTGCAATATCATTTTTTCAATAATTTTACATAGACTTGTATGGTATTCAAAAAAGTGTACTAAGAAATTCGTTTTAATCATAATGTAATATTTATCAGAAGGTGGCTAGTCAACCATATCATAGTTCAAATCAGATGACAACTCAGTGCACTAAACTCCAGCTATGTAGACAATCTGAAGAAAAATAAGATCAAATTAGGTTAATTGTATGCAATTTTACCGGTGGAATGATGCTGGATCGAATCACATTGCGTCTATTGTATACAAATATTCTTATAAGTGGAACGATGTGAAATCGAATCATTTTGAGTATATTATACGCAGTCTTACCTGTGGGATGACGCCGATTTCAAGAAGAAGAGGGCCAAGAATGAATCCACCACCAGAGCCAAGCAAGCCACCAACAGTTCCTCCCAATATGCCACAAAAAGCACAAAATACAAGATTTGTCACTGACCATTCAATGTCAGCTTCACAAACTGATATTGGGTTCCCTGCTAGTCTTCTTTTCGTGCTCTCTTTGTAAAGTTTGACACATTCATACAAAAACACAGCCAATGCTACTGGGAACTGAAATAAAACATGAAACATGCACTATAATAAGTTACCCCCACTATAATAAAATTACATTAGGTAGTAACATGTACCTGTAATAAGATGAGCACCCAGTAGAATGGACTACAAGCCACTAGATTATTCTGTAAACATGTAAAAACATGACTAATTTAGGCTCAAAAATAAGAAAGAGACATTCACAAGAGTTTAAGCTAGTTTGGGACATAAATTTGGTTGAAACTTGAAAAAAAAAAGAGTTGAAGTTATGTTGAAAAATAATTTTTGGAAGTTGAAGTTGTGTTTGGACATGCATTTTACTTTAAAAAAGTTGTGAAATTTTATGAGTGGAAGAAAAAGTTTCGCCAAAAACTGCCCCAAATAAGTTTTTGGAACCTGAAAATTTTTCTTCAAAAATTTTAAAAAACTGATCAACTTTCATGACCAAACAATATTTTCAATTCTTTTTGAAGAAAAGTAGCCAAAATTTATGTCCAAACGGGAGCTAAGTTTTGTGAACTGATGTCAGTGTAAGGTAATAAAAGGATAATGGCAAAAAATCTTTAAATTATCAATGTATATACTTTAAATTCTTATTTTAATGTGCTTAAATTTGGAAAAGAAATTGTAAAAGAAGGAAAACTAGTAAATTCAAAATTAGAAGAATTGACTTGCCTTAAAGACTTGAAGAAGCAGAAATATGATCCAAAGTAGAAATAACAGAACTACTCTCTTTAAATCAAGGTTGAACTTCATAAGTTGCTGTTAGATGATGACAAAAAGATCATTCAACATTAACAAGAATAAGCTGCAAAAAAAAAAAGGTAAATAAAAAGGTAGAAATATCAATGCTGATAATTGATATGAATAAGCTTACTAGTACAGTTTTTTCCTCCTTGGGGACCAGTTGCTCATAATCTGTATCAATTACAACTGAAAAACAGGAAGTAAAACAAAGTATTATTAGACTAATTTAAACAAAGAAATTTAATGAAGTTACTTTTCCTTAAACCTTCCAAAATAAAGGATTAATTGTTCTTGGACTACTTACGTTCACCATTAGAATTAATTGTAGCCTCTTCCCTCGCTTTCTGCAAGTTTTAATTTCACATAAAGAAGAATGGTTAATAATATTTTTGCCTTCAAATTCAAGCAATTCGACCACCACTTTTAATGTACTATCTTGTATAATTAATAATGTAAAATGCACGATAGCAAAAATCTTTTGAAAGCAACACTTAATTAAGTACGTATTACACTTAATAAGAATTATTTGAGGATTATTATTTTGTTGGTCGATGGATTAGTAGAACTCCCGGTGAGAAATGTTTTTCTTGAGCCGATGTTTTTTTTTTAGAAAAAAGTCTCTCTACCTATATAGGCAGTAGCGGAGCTAGAATTTTTATCAAGGAGTATCAAAATATAAAAAAATTAGATACATCAAAAAATAAAGGGGAGTCAACGTATAGTAAATATACCTAAAATAAAATAAAAAATTATCTAGCAATATAGTGTAATTTTCCGGCAAAGGGGTGTCGACACCCCTTGGTTCAATGTGGCTCCGCAACTGTTCACAGGATAGGAATAACATCTGCGTATATTTTACCCTCCCTACACCAAATATGTTATTGTTGCTGTTAAGAATTAGTAGAACTAACCTTGAGAATAGTTTCTTCTTTCCACATCTTAATCCCTTTAAAAAATGACCTCGATGAAGTCCCTATAAGCAAAATTATATAATAATAATATTAATAAAACACAGCAAATATTTGAATAGAAGGACAAACAATTTATGAAAATAATGGTTGCTAGAAAAGGTTGTGCAAAGTTACCTAAGAAAAGGATGATAATAAGGACAGTTATGAGCCAATAGGGGAAAACAATACTAAGAGAAACACCAATGGTGATTCCTAGCATGATCATAGGTTGAAAAAGTAGAGCTAAATCATAATCAATTATTGGTACTTCTCTGCATGGATGTGGTACTCTTAAGTTGTACCATACTGATGANAAATTAAGTGATTACTTCATAACTGTCTACGCTCTAGTAACAAATTAATTCACGAGGTATAACTCGAATACCATAGTTATAAAAAGAATGATATTCATCTTCTCCCCCCTCTTTGCTTCCCCCTAACGATATTCAAGTTTTTGCATGTGATAGTCTTTTCTCAAACTATAACAATAACAACTACTACGACTTAATATAAGTAAATTATAGTAGGTTATATGAATTGTCACTGCCTTTTTTTGGAACTGAAAAAAAGAAGAAGCTTACACTTGGAAATAGCAGCAGCAGATTTGGTATCAAATCCAACAATCAAAGTAAGCATAGGAACAAAAATGCCTCCTCCACCAACTCCACCTACTGTTCCGCAAGCTGATCCCAAGAATCCTATCGCTGCAGCTAAAACTGGCCTCCAACCAAACTTCAATTCCTGCAACAATCAATCCATGAGCAAAAAAAATTAAGAAAGACCCCATCAAAGTTAAACTCAAGGAACACATTTTTATGGTTAAAAAAAACAATGGAAAGTGGAAAAAAAAAAAGAGACACTAGAGACACAAGACTACAAGAAAAATTGGAATTATCAACGAATTTTACCGAACACTTAAATTCGTGGTAAATTATTAATGAATTAAAAAACAAACAAAAAGGTAACTCGGTGCACAAGCGTTTTGTAGGAAGTATCGCAGCCTAAGGGATGTGACGTAGAGTGCCTAATTAGTGGCTGCTTCCACGGCTCGAACCCGTGACCTATAAATCACATGGAGAAAACTTTACCGTTGCTTCAAAGCTCCTCAACCAACGGACTAATAACGAGTCTTTTTTCAAGAATTAGCAAACATACCGGCCAAATTTTGGTTTGAGATCCAACAGGCAACTGCAAAAAGTTGGAATTCGTGGAATATCTTGGTTTAAAACCACCATTTTTTATGAAGAAAACAGATAGAACAGCTACAGAGAAACTTGTTAACAAGTAAACTACAAAGCTTTTGGTAGCCATTGAAGACTAGATTTCCTTTAACAATCACTTAAATTTTTTCTTCCACCTTTAATTTGTCCTGTATTTATATGTTGTTTTATGAAAACCAATTGACCCTTATAAATACTACCAACTTTCTAAACACGGCAAACCAGCTAGCACATGTTGTATATAAGGAAAGAAATCAATTAAGAATCTTTCTAGCACCATACCAAATTATTACTACAAGACTTCCTTGAATTTCTTTCACATTTTGTTTTATGTTTCTTGACGTTGGGTAGAGGAGAAGACCCCGGGGTTAGCGGGAGGGGCAAATGAACCTTGTCCTCATCGTGTCACGCAGTGACGAAGTCAGGAATTTTCCTCAAGGATGAAGTGAAAAAAAAATCCCGATAAAGAGTACTCCCTCCGGTACAAAATAAGTGATTTTGGGTTGTCTTCACACATATTAAGAAATTCATCTTTTAACATTAATTAGCAATGAAATTGACCATATTAACCTTTATTGTCTCTTCATATAAACACTCCTAACACATACTCCAATATTAATTACTTCAAGGGCAATGTAGGAAAAAAATAATTAATTCATTCTTAAAATCTGAAAAAATCACTTATTTTGGACCATAAGAAAAAAAGCCAAAAAATCACTTATATATTTTGGACCGGAGGGAGTATTTAATATATGTAATATAACTCTAAAATATAATATTTTACTTATATAAGCAGTGTAATTTTTCCACTGGGGTGGTTAGTTGACCACTCTTTATTAAGACATGTAGCTTCACCCCTGATGTCACGTGACACCATTTTATCAAAAAATTTTTTTGCTAAATATGTATATATAAATAATATGTATTAAGTAAAATAAAAAAATATATTGCGTATAATATTTTAAAAAAAATGACTACGCAGTTTCCAAAAGTAGGCAAATGTTACACAAAAATGAGTGGATATATACAAACTTTCTTTCAATGTCCATACATGTGTACAAAGGTTATTGTTAAGACAAGTCTAAAAACCGCTACTAAGTTGCTTAACTTCCACTTAAATATGATTCTGAAGGGGAAATTTTACGTAATTAAACTTTCCCACTTGGTTTGTATTTATTACTACCTCCGTTTCACTTTGTTTGGTGTGGTTATGGTTAAATTTAAAAATAAATTCTTTAAATTGTTGAAAACAAAATTTACATATTTGAAAAACTACGTACAAAAGTCAAAATAGTCAACAATGCAAAATAGTTAAAAAAATATTTTAATATGGTCAAAAATAGTCAATAATGCAAAATAGTTAAAAATTATTTTAATATGGTCAAAGAAATGAAGAATAACCTTTTTGACTATCTAAATAGAAAATATGTCAAATAAAATAAAACGTAATAAATATAAGTGGTGTCATTGTGCAGTTACTGCAATGAGCAATCCCATTATTAGTACCAACATACTGAGTAAATAAAACGGGTTTTCATAATTTTGGGACAACGTTTTAATAGGAAATCTTGAGTTATATGGTATTCAACTCCGAAAGAGGAACTTTTCCATAACTGCAAAATTCAAAGAAGCTTTACATCTTTCAGCCTAATTTAAATTTGTTTTGCATGGTAACTAGTGAGCAATGATTGGTTCGATTTTATATCTCTATGTAGGGGTGTACATGGACCGAGTTAGTTCGATTTTTATCAAAACCAAATCAAACCAACTATATCGGTTTGGATTGGTTTGGTTTTGTCGGGTTTTTTTGTTACATGAATATTATTTTAATCTTACTTTGTTAAAATTATAGATAAAGATTTGATAAGTGAATATATGTTTAGTGAATATGAAAAAAATTGACAAACATATGATCTATTAAAATATTATAATGGGAGAAATTTTTTAGTAACACATGATAGTTATTTTCTTAGTCATCTAACAATAATTTTTCGTTAATTTATGCTTTCAAGGTTAATACATGAGAGGATCCCAAATATTTCTACATTTTCTAAAGAAAAATCACTATAAAGTCTTAAAAATATAAATAAAATTTATATATTTATATGTCGGTTTGGTTCGAATTTTTTTACTCAATACCAAACCAAGTCAAACCAAACCTAATCGGGTTTTTTAATCGGTTTGGTTCGTTTTTTCGGTTTGGTGCGGTTTTCCGGTTCGGTTTGAATGCCCCTATCTCTATGTTACTTAATAAGTACCAAAAAGAGTTGTTTTCGAGCTTTGAGTTATAAAGCCGCCTTATTAGGGAACGCTTCACCCCAAATATGAGAGCGCAAAATTTTGTCGGGTCCCGATACGAATACGAGACACCAAGTAGGAAACCAATTCTTTTAGTTGTAAGTGTATTAATCAATAGGAATTCAATCTTAGTCAAACATTTAAGATTAAGCTATTAAAATTAAGAAATGCGAACGAAATTAATTATAAGAAAAGCGCGTCCAAACTGTAAATACGATCCATTAATTAAATACTTTTCGAGGGAATCTATCCAAACTCTAATAAGGCAATACTTCCTCCGGATCACTTTAATTAATTTTTTTTATTACCTTTTTAAGGTTCACAATATTTGATTTTTCAAATATCAAAAAAGTATTAACTTCTTTTTTCCAAAGTTACCCTTGGAGTGAAGAGCACAGGAGTATTTATTGTATTTTCAATGAACAAATTAAGGTTAATATGGTCAATTACATTGTTAATTAATGCCAAAAAATGAATTCCTTAATATATGTAAAAACAACCAAAAAATCACTTAAACTGAACAGGACGGAATAACAATATTCGAGTCAAACTAAGCAAAAAGTTAGCGTGAAATTGACATAATGAAGTTTGACGTTATTGATCCTCACTATATACACACACAAAAGGGGGGAAAAGTTGACGTTATTATCATCATCTGTTTTTTAAGTAGTCTATGCCAAAGTATAAAATATAGACATGTGGAAAGAAAAGGTCAAATCGTGGGGAAATATATATACATGCTTGATAAGTTGGACAAGTATTACAATTATTTTTTTCAACTCGAGGGTTGTAATATTTTTTTTTTATTAACTATTTTTTTTATTCAAACTCCAAGGCAACAACAACAATAACAACCCAGTATAATCTCACTAGTGAAGTCTGGGAAGAGTAGTGTGTACGCAGACCTTACCCTTACCAAGGGTAGGGAGACTGTTTCTAAATAGACCTTCGGCATCCTTCCAAACTCCCAGGCAATAACAATATTTGAGTCAAACTAAACAAAATATAGCGTGAAATTTACTTAATGAAGTTTGACGTTATTATCATCTGCTTTTTTAAGTAGTCTTTTGTTCATATATGCCAAAGTAAAAACTATACGCCGTGGAAAGAAAAGATCAAATACTTTACTTGAATGACTTAAACGTGGGGAAATATAATATGTATATGATTGACAAGCATTACAATTATTTTTTTCAACTCGAGGTTTGTAATACATTTTGTTATTAACCTTTTATTTTCTGAAGAAAATGTGGAGTAAAGTCAATGATTTCCTCTTCTCTCTCTTTTTTTTTTGGTGCACGTCTGAATGACCCTTAACGTGGAAGATTTTGCGTATCTTATAAGGGAGAAAAAAGAAATCTTTGAATGGCTCAATGAAGGTCTACAAATGACAAAGAGTGAAAAAATGAAGTGAAAGTCATTAATTGCAATGTGAATGAGTAATAAACATCATTCCTCTGCCTCTAACCTTAATAACATAAAAGTTTAAGAATTTTAATGGGTTAAATCTGCCCTCAAAGTATATTCGTGGGACCAAATATGTCTTTTATATGGAGCCGTTTAAAATAATATTGTAATATATTTGAATCGAGTACTGGACGGCATGTGCATGTTTGTGCCAACATATTAACAACGGGCACATGTACTCAATTTCGCTTAGTTCAGGAGCATATTTAGACATTTCCCATTGCTTTAACAACGAAGGGATATTATTTTGGTCACATTAAAGAGCTAACAATCTATTCTCCAATCAACATTTTGAAAAATCAAATATTTGGAAACGAGATCTCTCTTCTCATTTTTCGTAGTGTTTTGGATCGCTATGTAAAGAAAATATGGGAATTTTGTAAAATAATCTTTCATTTTTTAGCTCGTTCATATTTAAAATTCCTCTATTTGAACTCATCAATATTTTACAAAATATTTCCTTAAGCCTTTCTCTTATTTTAGCTCTTATAAATGTACCTTTCTTCCATATTTTGCTAAAGAAGCTTTCTTTTACAATAATTGTGTCAAATTCTATTGTAGACATGACACTAAGTAGCCACTCTTAAGGGCCGTTATTTAAAAATTAACTAATATGTGCTGAATTTTGTTTTTTTAGTTCAATTTTTCGGGACAAAAATATCCGGAATTATTATGAAGTTAAGATTTTTAGTTGAAAATTTCAGGACAAAATAAATACTGAATAATATCTAAATAGCATCCCCGAAAATGGCCATCTATGCACGTGCCCCATTTCTATTTTAATTGCTTCCTAAGAATACCGTTCCAAGACCAGCCCAAGAGTCCTCCAGCCCACCAAATTAAAAAAATGGACCAGTTCAACTCTTCCATTTTGACATGTTTAATATTAAGAGGTCGTGCGGTTACAAGTGTGAGCACGTAATATTTGCCCGACTAAAAATACTCCTACAAAATTCACGAAATAGATTTTTTTAATTATTTTAATTTTTATAGAATTTTTAAGAATTTTTGTTAATTGTTGTTTGCATTTAGTTGCATGTTTAATATTTTTAAAATTATAAGAAAATACAAAAAAATGTCTAAAATATTTATTGCATAGAATTTTAGGTTTAATTGCATTTAGGATTTAATTACATGATTTAATTGTAATATTAAATAAAAATATCAAAAAATGGTCATTTTTACATATTTAGCTTTTAGTTTTAAAATTAGTATTTTCCTTTCATTAGTTTTAAGTTAATCAATTATTCTAATGTTAGAAATAGATAATTAATTTAATTATATTTATAAGATTTGATTTAGGATATGATTTAGGTTTTTAATTAACTTTATTAGGATTTAAAATCAAGAAAAAGGAAAAGAAAGAAGAAGGCTGTGTAGTTATTCGAATTGGGCTTGCCTCGATGGCCCAATTCTCCCAAACCAACCCCAGCCCAGTCTCCATATCCACCCGGTCCACACTCCCCATCACCAAACGACACCGTTTGGTAATCCTTAGTCCCCACTGTTCATATCCCCAGATCCAACGACCTTAAACTAACCCCCACGCCCCTTAAAAATGTCGAAACACCCCCATACCCCCATGAACCCTCATAGACTCGTCTATCTTATCCCTCTCTCATCTCTCGCCATCTGTCGCTGCCGAAAATCGCCTATGGCGGCGGCCCGTCGCCAAATAACCCCAAATCTTCACCCTATGACTCCCACACTTCCCAAATCCCAAATCTCTTACCAATTTCCCCAAATAATCACCCAAACTCCCCGAATTTTAGATCTAAGAGATTAAGAAAACCTAGTTTTTCCCTTATTTTTTTTTCTGAATTCAAGCCATCTTACGCTATAGCTCACATTAGTTGACTGCTTGTGTTAAGAATTACCAAATGATTTTGGTTTCATATCATTGGACAACCGTCAGTTTTGACCACTCAACCTCACTGGCTAGCCATCGCTTTGTGTAGCATTAGTTCTGCCTTTCAAGCGTGAATCAATGCTCACATATCGATATTGACTATTGGTCGGATTTTCTAAAGTTTGGCTCTGTTCATCAGTAGGTAACTTCCCTTTTCGATCCTTCTTGTTCTTCATTTTAATGACATGATTCAATGTTATTGTTTTGTGTGTGTTGATTGCGTTTAGTGGCTGGAGAGCAGTATTTTGATTAGATAACTGAAGTTTTATTAATTTAGTCTTGATTATGTTGCTAAAACCTGTTAAGTAATGGTTAATTGGTAATTCTTTAAGTCTTGTCTTTTAATATTAAATTCTGAAATTAGAATAAAATTAGTTATTAGTGTTGATCATGGCATTTAGAGATTTTTTAAAAATCAGCAGAGTTCTCTTTGTTGTTAATAGCTTGAATGTTCTGGAATAGGGATAAGGGATCAAGATGTAATGGGATAAAGAATTTAGGGCAAAATTTGGGGTTAAGAAGGGTAAAATACAGAAACTAAAGGGGCTAAAAAATATGAGGGAATATCAGGATAGACAGTTGTCCAATAACTGTCCATTTCATTTGCAAAAGATGTTATTTTCCTGATTTTTAGGGAGCTGAAAAATATTCCCAGACCCCTTTCTTCCTCACACATAGCACATGTTAATATTCTATAGAAAAAGGATTCCTTCTCTCATTCTCAGACACGGAAAAAACCCTCAGAAATTCAGAGATTTGGTTTCTCCATTTTCATTTTGATATTTCTACTCTTTTGGGTTTAAATCTAAAACCAGAAAACAAGAAAACAAAAAACAAAAAATAAAAATAAAAAATTCAAGGCTGCTTATTCTTTTTCATTTTTCTACTGGTCTTACTCCATTTTACTAGGACTTTTTTTGGCTGCTGGCTTTTTGGTTCTTGCTGGTTTCTGCTGCTGCATTTGTTTTTGGTTTTTGGTTTTTTTTTTTTCAATTCCAGAGACATATTTTCTGTTTATTTTGGTTCTGTCATAAATAAGTATGTGCTACATGACTGCAGTACCTATTTAAGCATATGAATAAAGTTTGAGTGTCAATAGATTGGTTTAAAGCTTTCTATGTGTGTTAATTACTTGTTTGAGCTATATGACTGCACTAAATTCTTCTCTGATTTAGTTTCCTATTCAATGCTAAATATATTTTTTAAATAGGAACTGGTCTTACTTAATTTCATATTGCTTGTATCTTCAACTAGAAGTGATTCCTGATTCAAAAATGCTTTCTGGTATCGTCATATGAAATACCTGCCAAACATGTATTAATCTAAGATTGTCTTGGGTTGAGGTTTCAAAGGATTCAAGTTGGAAATGGACTACTGAGTGTTAAATGTATGAAGATAGAAGCAAGTGGAATCAGCTACCTACAATTGAGTTACTGTTGTAATGAGTAATTCAGTAGCCTTTTTAGTCATGTTTGAGAAGGACAATCCTCTAAAAAATAGTTATTGATGTAAAATTTCGAATATGATTGCTTTGATGTAATGAATTAATTTTCTTTTACGTTCATGATTTGAGGCTAAAGGTTGCATTACTGTCTTCCTAATCTCCTAAGTCCTTGTATGCCAATCTTGTATTTACTTTAGGGCCAATTTTGAACCTATTAGAAGTTTGCAAATGAAGATCGAGCTATTTCAGGAAGGCTAAGGCATGTTTAGGCTCTATCTTGAGCCCATGTTTTCCACACTGGGCCTATCAAGGGTCTGTACGAGTTTGCCAATTTAAAGATGACACATAATCTGTTATTCAGCCATTAATTCATGATTAGGTCAAAAAACTAAGAAATAAGTAGGTAGTCAGTTTAATTAATTCCATGCTTTCTTTAACGTGAACATGTGCCACAATATAAGATTGTTGTTTGTACTTTTCCTTCAAAGTAAGTCGTTCATGATGTTTGATTTGGTAGATATGTTTATTTTTTAAAAAAGTTTAACGGATAATTCTTTTTTTGTTGAAATTTCAAACACTTGGTTCACTCCTCAATCTGGCTTCATGCAGAATAAACATGCCCTAATGTCAAGCCTTCTAGAGACCTCAAAGTTAGATGTTAAGTGACTTAATAAACATCCGTATAAATGCTTTAGGGCACACATTTAATCTATTATCGTGATTATATACACGTTCGCGTGGCACGATTACGATTTCGAAAATGAATATTCGTAGAAATACTTTTAAGCGCGTATTTAATCGATTATCATAATTGTGTACACGTTCGCGTGACATGATTGCGATTCCTAAAATAAATCAAAGTACGCGTTCACGCGACTTTGGCCAAACAATCTTAATATTAATAAAGCGTGATCAATTGTGTACACGTACGCGTGACATGATTTTAGCGTGCCAAATAAAACGGATTTACACATATGTAGTCCGTTTCAAAGATTAATTCCAGAATGCTATAATTAAAAACGGTAAAAGGTAAAATACACGTAGGTTATAAAAATACGTAATTAAAATAATTAATTAATCCAGGTATGATTAAAGCGACTGTGCTAAAACTACGGAACCCGAGAATGCCTAACACCTTCTCCCGGAATAACATAATTTCTTACTCGATCTTCTAGTGTCGCAGACTTTAAATAAAGCCAAATTTCCTCAATTTGGGATTTTAAAATAAACCGGTGACTTGAGACACCATAAATTATTCCAAGTGGAGACTCTGAAATTAATTAAATAATCCCATTTCGATTAATGCCACTTTAATTGGAAAAAATCCCTATTCCTTCAGAAAAAGGAGGTGTGACAGCTCTGGCGACTCTGCTGGGGATCGAACCCAGAGTCTTTGGTTTAGGGTTCAGAATTCGTGCTTGTTAATATGATCTATGCTTGGCTTTATTGTTTGATATTTGTGGACCTAATGTGATAATTGCTTCTTATTTACTGCTTTGATATTATTTGAACTGTATTAAACTGTCTTCTTACACCTCCCTTCTCAGTCTTTTCAAAATATGGTGCACATGTACGCGTGACCCACTTTTCTGTTAGAGGTCATACCAAATAGAACGAGGATGGATCAGTAACTAGGCTGGGTATACTTTCGTGCTCCCGGTACATTGCACCCACATTGGCTCGAGCTGTCCGCTTGGGTAAGCCATGTCTAGAACATACCCTCAAGTTTAAAACCTAGAATAACATAGCCTCATGATGGTCCCTAGTAGGAAAGTTTGTTTATATCACGTGCATTTGACTTAGGGGACTCAACACAGGGGTAGGATCCGTCTAGGACAGGTGTACTCGAAATAAAAGACCATCTTGATACATCTTATGTGCTATATGTGCATTTATTTGTTTCAGCTTACATATTGATCGGCTAAGGAAAGAAAATCAAGAGAAAAACCAAGATTGAGGTGGGAGAGAAAATTCACCTGATTATGAAAACCCCGGTATTTGGAAAATATCCCCAAACTCTGTCGAAATTTTGAGAAAAATGAAAAATGAGTTTTTTTTAAAAAAGGGAGTCACTTCAAAATGAGTTAATATCATGTTTTTCTGGTTGTGCCAAAACTGACCGAACTACGCAGGTCTGATTCTCATCAGATGTGAGATACGTAGGCAACCTATATAAGGTTCGGCCTTGTTTTTGCAAAAATAACCAAAAATAAATAAAATGTGTACGGGTTCTTTAGGTCAAAAGAGTAAGCCGACCTAACTTCGGTTGCGTCTTGAGCCGTTTTTGTCGGAATAGCCTTAGAACATCCTCAAATTTGTCGAAGGGTTATTTTCGCAAAGAACGAACATGTATGTCAAATAGGGCATCACCTTTTCCATAAAGTGCCTTGCCCAGGCCTCAAATTTTATTTGAAAGTGTGAAGGGGGAACTATTGCAAAGATGGCCATCTTTTGCTAACATTGCATAAATAGCCACCCTCATTTGATTTTTCCTTGGAAAATTGAAAACTAGAGTCAACCCTAACCCTAACCATCCATAGTACAAAATGAACTCCAGAATCCGCCATTAACAGTCGTAGAGAAGACTCCATTGCATCTTCAAATGTGGTGGTATGACTTAGATAAAAATGGTCAGGATTGGGTAAAAAAAGCATTTGGGCGCTCTTACAAATATTGTGAAAGTCAAACCGTGAGATGATCTAATTAAGGCCTTAGGAACTTTCTGGGACCCCGTTCACAATGTCTTCTGCTTCTCGGATTTTGAGCTTACTCCCACTTTAGAAAAAATAGCCAGATACACTGGTTTCGGCCGGGACTTGAGAATTCAGCAACTTATATTCCCAAGGCCTCCCTCGGTGCACCGATTCTTCGATCTCCTGAATATCAATAAGCAAATGAGGAAGAACAATGTAAACAATGGATGATATTCCTTTTTCTTCCTGTATTCCAGATATGGTAACTCAAACAGGTTTGAAATACATGAAAAGGGCCTGAACAACAAGCAAAATGAGGACACCTGAAAAATTCATCGTCGCTTTGCTTTTATAGTGGCATTTTTGAGAATTATGGCCTTCCCAAATGAAAAATGGATAATTGACATCCGCATGGCCAGAATTGTGCAAGTCCTCACTACCAAAGAGGATCACACGCTTGCTCCGCTTATATTGTCAGACATCTATCGAGTATTGACGTTGTGTAAAGTCGGGGCGACATTTTTTGAAGGGTGCAACATTCTGTTACAAATGTGGTTAATTAAACATCTATGCCATCACCCCAAATTCATGAGTTATGGCCCGAGCAAGAATAACTTCATCGAAAGTTATGAGGAAAGGGTAAAAGATTACAACTCTCTAGAAGGGGTTGAAGCCTAGATCTCCCATCTAAGAACTTTAAAGTCGAGTCAGATTGAATGGACTTGGGATGACTCCCGATAAGGGAAGTCATCCACATGATAGCTACAAAAAGCTACTTGTTGTTGATGGGTTTGAGAAGTGTCCAACCGTATGCACCATAGAGAGTTCTGAGACAGTTGGGAACATACCAAGTGGTGCCTGAAGATGAAGATTTGAGTGTCCAAGTCATCAAGCTACACCAAGAAGCTCCAGTCCCCGAGACTTTAATTCAACGAGACTGGAATGGCTGCTGATATCTGAAAGATGATACCCAGGTACCAGATCCCGCGAGAGGTGAGGTAGACCCAGGTTATTCTATATGGTTCGAGAAAAGATTTTGTGTTAGTGATAAGACAAAGCCCGAGCCCGAAAGGCCTGCCAAAAGACCTCATATTCAGGCTTTTGATGATAAAATCCGAGGACGATTGGCTTGGGGAGAAAAGGAGAAGAAATACCAGGCCACCATTCATGCCTTAGAAGATAAGTTGAGAAACCTCACCTTTGATAATGACTTACGAGTACAAGAAGCTGAGGGTGAAACGAGAAGGTTGACCGGGGAGAACGAGGCATTCCGAGCCCAACTCTGGGATATGAGGATAGCTGCTGAAATTCTGTGAGGAGTGAGAAGGATAAAAAACCTCATAAGCAACTTAAGGTTAAAGGTGCATGATTATGCGGTCGACTAGACAAAGGCCGAGAAAGACTTGTTGAAGGCTCAAGCACAGTTGGCAAAAGGTGCGGAAGTACGAACAAGGTTTGCTCACCAACTGAAGCAGAGATACGATAAAGAAGTCACAACTTTAAGGAAGAAGTTGACCATCCTTGAAAATGAAATAGTTCAGCAAACAAAGGACTTCAAAGCAGAAAGAGAGCATTGCTACCCATTGATTTGCTGATTAGAAGAAGACATGCAATAGTTGCAGGACAAAAACAACATGGAGACGCAAGTGTTAGAGGCCCGGACACAACAAATTGGGCGCCTACTTCAAGAAAAAGGGTGTCAATAGAATGAGGATCAAATAAATAGCTGATTATATTGCAATGAAGTGCCATGAATGTGAAGATATGACCAGATCCATATTCTTTACTTCCGTTATGACATTTGTTCGCCAGGTGATGGCGATATGGAACACCTTCAGGAAGAGATCGCATGCAGGCCAGCGCCGAAACCAACTGATGTCCTGCAGGCCCCTGGAATATCATTGGAGGCTCTTATGTATTCTTGATTTTTGGTTTTTGAGTCTGTATTTTACTTTTTCTTAAATCTGCTCGTCTGCGTCAAGTTTGTTTGTTGTCCTTTTTGAGTATGTATGTTTTGTCCCGTTTTGATTCAGTATGTTTTTTTTATCATTAGTATTTCCAAGTCTTTGTAATAGAAAACCCCAAAAAAGATTTTTATTATTAATGTAATATTGAAAAAAAAAACCAAAAAAATTTCCTCATTTTTATTTTGCGTTTATTCCCCTGAACTACGTAATAATCTGATTCATGCGACGTCATGATATGTAGGCAATCCCCATAGGATTTGATCATAGACATAAAATTTAAAAAAAAATTGAGTGAAAAGAAAGAAAAGAGGGGCAAAAATAAAAAGAGAAAAAGAGAGTGCCAAAAAATAAAAGAGCGAAAGAAACAAAATAAGAAAATCAGGAGTGATTAAAAGGGAGACGGAAGTGAATGAAAAGGTACAGAGTGAAAAAGGGTTAGTTAAGGCCGGGATGAAATATGCAACCATTCAAACATATGGTAGAAT